GAGGACATTCTTTACCAGAGAGGTTTGCAGCTGGCGCTACAATCAGAAAATAAAGCTTGGTGCAAACGCCACACTTCATGCACAATGCAGTAAAGGAGAAAATGAGGTGTTTCAATCTAGCTTTTAGACATACTACCGACAAAGTGTGGTTTTGTGACGTGAGGCAAAATATATATATAATATCGGAATATTATACAAATTTTTGCGGGGTAATCCGTACTTTAGTGATTGAAATGGAGTCAGTCAACTGATAACCGCAGTGATTCCTTAGATTCCTTAGATTCCTTCACTTTACGCGACCAAAAGCGGTCAAATTTTGAGTAGAAATGGGGTATTTTTGTTCAAAAATAAAGCGGTGAAACTGCATTTTCCATGGCAGGCAGATATAAAATAACTTTATTTACACTTGAAACCGGAATTTCTGAAGACTCGAAAATACTTGTCTGTATACTGGAATTCAAAAGAGCCCCTTTAAATAGGGCAGAGTATGCTAATGTTGCACGGCGATAATTGTCTCATAGGTCTATCTTGACTCGAAGCATTGCAGCTTCAGACTAAAATAGATTCTTTGGTAGTTAGTTAAAAGTACAGTAGATAATATTTTCGTTGCACTATACCAGTTTCGTCAACGTGTTCTCGGGGTTCCTTTGAATTTTCCGATATTGAGTGGTTTGAACCAGATGCGTTTGCTGATTTTCATTTTTTCCTTTTCCTCCTTCCATGCTGCTGCAAAATAGAAATTGAGCCGTTCATTGTTTGCAATATTCTACTATAATAATACTGTATATAGTAATAGCTTAATAACACTTTGCATCAACAGATATTGCATGATCTATATACCATTGTCTTTGATCATGCATGCATTACAGTGAGCGTATTGCAGACCGCTGGTTCTTTTATATTTGCTGTTATACAAACAATACTAAACAAACACTGCAGATTCACATGTGATAGATCAAAGTCATATTTCACATCAAAACAGTCTCGTGGAATGTTGTTTACGAATATAGAAATATTGAAATAGCGCGCACATCCGGGAAAATAGGTAAATCAATTACGATTTTGTGGCATTTCACTCGATGTAGGTAAATTCAAAAGGTTTTTAAAGTGTCTTAATTTCAAGTGAAATCATACACAACTCAATTCAAGCCAGGAACAGTTGAGAAAAATTAGTCAACTATCGGTTCTCCGGTTAGCCTACGTAGACCCATCCATCACGACGTAGGCTATCCTCCGGTAGGAATCGAACCTACGCTTATACTAACATGCATATAACTTAGCATCAAATGTGGTATAACAACTGCCTAAATTACACAAAACACTTCTCGACGTTTCGACCTGAGGACGACGTTTCGACCGAGAGTAACTCTCCTGACGAAGGTCCTCAGGTCGAAACGTCGAGAAGGGTTTTGTCTATTTAGGCAGTTGTTATACCACATTTGATGCTAAGTTGTTTAAAGACGCTGCCACGCTGCTCCCTGGTTATGTTGGAACATGCATATACCTAGTTTTAAACGAAGCGTGGACGACGTCTGAAGGGCAACGTTTGAACTGCATTTTTCTTACAAAATGCTGGTAAATATACTATAATATCAATGAAAACACTAACAATTTATAAAGCCTTTTCATATTTTCACACGTTTACTACGAACCAAGACAAAACACGTCTTAAGGCCGGCGCACACTAGAGCTATGTGCTTAGCAAAAAGTCATTCGTGGCCATCGGCGTAAGCCAGTTGCTCTCGTGTGCGGGCGACTTTCCGGCGATTTTTACGAATGACGAAGTCACTGGAAAAGTCGCCCCACACAGAGCAACTGGCTTACGCTAATGCCAGGAATGACTTTTTGCTAAGCACATAGCTCTAGTGTGCGCCGGCCTTTAGCAATACCATATATATCTACATCTAGCTACTTATTACTCAAGTATAATGTTACCGGTAGTGTTGCCATAACTTGTCACAAAGGTCAGAGGTCTCTATACTACAACACTATACTCAGTCTATAGGCTTATTCGCACTAATATTTACAAGGGATAACACATGAAGACAACAGCTCTAATAATAACAATTCATAGAAGCGATCAATCTACTACATAAAATTCTTGTCCTTTTATTAACTTTCGCTGGCCTTCTGATCTTTGCTACACATTAAACTTTCATATACATACATGGCAGTGGCAGTTTACTACGCACTTCTGGACGACATTTGGGATCAATAATACCCTTGTGTTTCTTTGTGCTTCTCGTCAACTGGTGGATACCTGAGAAACCCCAAAGTGAGATTACTTTCGATTTTACTGATTTATTAATATCATATATTATTCATGTTATACATGGGCTGAATGAAGAGCAAAGCTTGGTAGTTGGTACAATTGTATTGCCCTAATTTGAATTTTAAATTCCTAGGTCGATAAAAATGATTGATTTTTCTGCACAAGGCTAGTTTATTCGCGCGACGAAGCGATTGGTCTGCAAAAATCAGTCGCCGGCTCGCCGCAAAAAAATTCATACGAAGACAACATCTATGTAAACAATGTAGATCTCCAATTACTTTCATTATTTGAATGCAAATTGGATTGCAAAGTGCTGAATAAGATCAAAATTTAAGAAGGGTTTATATTCAGGTGAAATGCAACTAATTTTAAAAGTAAGGTGAAAGATTCACTTAGATTCACTTCAATCTCACCCAGCAGAACTGATTCAGGTCAGACTTAAAATCGTAGCTACGTCACTACATTAAGGAAAATGAATATAATGAAGTGGAAGCTTCAACAACATAAAAACAGTGTACTTTAATATCCCAATTGCTAATAGTTTGAAAAGCTCTAAATTTCCATTTTAATGCAACCGTTTGTCAAAATACAGCCTTGCTTGACTTCCTGACTTTTATCCATTATTTTTATAGTTTTGGCTTTCTGCCTTTCTTAGATTCTCTATGCCTAGAGATATTTAGTTTGTTTGCATATAACTTTCTGCCATTTTGTTTTGTCCATTACCAGAAATTTGTGACATGATAATTTGCATGTATACTAATTTGCATTTAACTTTCAGCATAATGGCCTTCAACATTTACTATAAAATATGTATAGTAAATATACAAAACTTAAAAATGCCGTTGACCTAGACCTTGCCTACTGTTTGCCGACCTCTAGATCGGTCGAGCAGCTGTTTAGAAACGTTTTGGTGGCCGAATTTTTTTGCTTGGGCATTTCTGTAATCTGCCAAATTTAAAAATATTTGCTCAAAGTTTTGTCCGTGTTCTGTCAACGAACTTATAAAATCGCTCACATTGATTCGAATATTTCGATTCAGGTAGTTGATGAATTGACGTTTAATATACCAAAAAAGTTGTTAAAGATATTGTCTTTCGTATTTGTGTATAAACTTTTCTGTACGGCTCGGATTTTCACTGCAATCACTTTAAAAAATATTATCAGTCTTATCAGGAACTTGAACAATACGAAGGCTATATACACATTTGTTCACAATCAGTTGGCCGAACGTAGAAATACCTAAGGTAAGTAATTCGATCATTAAAACGTTGGGAAACGGCTGTTCTATTGACCCAGAGGTCGGCAAACAGTGGGCAAGGTCTAGGGCAACGACATTTTAGGGTTTTGTATATTTACTATATGTATTTAATAGTAAAAGTTGAAGGCCATTATGCTGAAAGTTAAATGCAAATTAGTATAAATGCAAATTATCATGTCGCAAATTTCTGGTAATGCATGTAATAATTAATCTCATTATCTCAACATCGTGAACCATTTTGTGTGAAACTGGATGCGTCTGATGATGTAAAAAAAGTAAATGAAACCATTTCAATTCCCCAAGTTCAACAACAAAGGAAAACAATGTTGTGATTTTGACAATATGCTATGTTCAAGTCCAGATAAGATTTATTTTTCCACGAATCTCGTCTTTCTAATTAATTTCGATATAGTTGTTTTATCTCCGTAGAAAAGTTCGACTGTGTCAATGTTCATCAACGAAAGGATCCCTCAACGCCTCGTGAGCATAAGGTCTCATGAATTTTGTGATTGATCAGCCTCGACACAAAATTTTGAGCTTTGCGATCACCAAGTTTCTTCAAATTAACAGAGTTCCCTTTTGATATATTTCTCATTCGATCAAACCTGGAACCAAAAGGGTGTTCACCTTTAGTTAAGACGTAGAAAGCAATCATACCCGCGACCTGGACATCTGATTTCGTTTTGAAACGACTTTTTTCATCTTTCTCAATTGCTTGAGCTACTTCCGATGGCATCCATCCAGGAGTACCTTTGGCGAATGTTACAACTGTTGTTTCATCGTCATTCAAAATACGGCTTATTCCAAAGTCTGCCAATTTCATGTGACCTTCGATATCAACCAGGACGTTTGAAGGTTTTAAATCTCTGTGCAATATTCCTTCACCATGAAGAAATTCAAGTCCTGATAGAATTTCTCTAGTCATTCGTGGACCATGCTCTTGTAGATGTTCAATACTGCATGCATGAACAAGTTCCCTCAAGTTTTCCTCGCAAAGATCAACAATAAGATACATGAACTCATTGCCAGAGTGAAAATAACGATAGCTCACTATAAATGGACAGTTTTTCGTTTCAATGAGACTCATAATTTCCTTTTCGTTTTCAACTGTTTTATCCTCACTTTGTGTTGTGTTTTCTTGTCTTGATCTAAATCTTAGATTCATTCGGATTGCAAAGTATATCTTTACTATAAGTTCTGATATTACAAAGAGAAGCTAGGCTATTTATAATACATACAAACCCGGAAGTAACTAGCCGGATGCGAGATATACAACATCCTCCTTTCTTAAAAGATATATATATATATATATATATATATTTTTTTTTTCTTTTCCTAAATTTTAAAAAACTTATGATCTAAAATACTTATGCTGAAATTGTCTTTATCAATTGTTCTACTTTATCTAATTTATTTTAATTCTATTTAATGATATTATCTACTTGTATATTATTCTGTCCGGCTTCTTTACTATGCGACCTGTCTCACATCACCCTGGTTGCCTCCACAGGCTGCACGATTTATCAGTTCAGGTGTCTTCTGTATATCAGGCTTGATTAACTGTCTATTCCTCCGTAACTGAACTCCGGATCCATCCTCTGTAATATAAGAACGAGGAGTTGGTCCAAAACCAACTACTCTCGCTGGACTCCACGTTTTGTTAACAGGGTCTTGAACTTGTACCGCTTGATTTTGAAAGAGATTTGGCTTCTCCTTCGAATCCCTGTTATATAGATTTACTTGTTTCTTTTGTTGTGTTAATAACAAGTCTCTGGTTTCGTACCGATCGCTTGGTGGATGAATCTTTACTGGTAATGTTGACTTGAACATTCTTCCATTTAGTAGCTCTGCTGGAGATTTGAGTGTTGTACTTAACGGGGTAGAACGCAACGACAGTAATGCAAGACTAGGATCAGCTCCTGATTCCTTGCATTTCAACAGGATCTTCTTCACAGTTTGGACCTGTCTCTCAATGAAACCATGCCCCTTTGGGTAATGAGGTGACGAAGTGACTACTTTAAAACCATATCTCTTCGCTAGGTCTTGAAATTGGGCAGAAGTGAATTGAGATCCATTATCACAAATGAGCGTTTCTGGTATGCCTTGCTCAGAAAATATCGATCTAACCACATTAACTACAGTGGTTGCTGTTAAATTATTTAATTTCTTCACAAATGGAAATTTCGAGTAATAGTCAGCAATAACAATGTACCAGAAATTATTTACCTTAAACAGGTCTGCGCTCACAGTATGCCATGGTCTTGGCGGTACTTCGCTTGGAATCATGGGTTCCTTTTGCTGTGAATTCTGGAATTTCTTGCAGGCACAACAGGACACCACCATACTCTCAATCTCTTTATATATACCGGGCCAATAAACGCAGGATTTTGAACGGAGTTTGCACTTCTCCATCCCTTGATGACCACTATGGATTTCTCGCATTATCTTCTGCCGGAGTGATTCTGGAAAAATTATTCTACTGCCTAAGAATAGAAGTCCTTCTTGGATAGAAATGTCATCTCGGTTATTCCAGTAAGGCTTTACTGCTTGCTGTATTTTCTTTATGCTATCAGGCCACCCTTGTATAACTTGCTCGCTGAGTATTTGAAGAGTTCCATCTCTAGCAGTTTCTTCTTTTATCTGTTGGAGCTCGACAGGTGGAAATTCTACTAGATGATGAATTTTCACACGCATTCCTGGGATTTCGTCTCCCTTCCTTGGTGACAGTCTCGATAGGGTATCTGCCTGGCTTGTATTTGATGATACAACCGTATGGTTGCAATCGTAGAAGCATTCTTTGAAGTCGAGGAGGTGCCATGTCGAGATTTTTCTTCTGGATCTGTTCCAAAGGACGATGATCACTTTCCACAACGAATTGCCTCCCATATAAGTAAGTGTGGAATTTCTCACATCCATATATCACTGCCAATAACTCACGCTCGATGTTGGCGTACCTACTCTCAGCAGGGGTTAAGGCTTTCGATGCAAACGCAATGGGCTTGTTCTCTTGTAATAGAACGGCTCCCAAGCCTTTACTTGATGCGTCTACTTGTAGCACAACTGACTTGCTTCTATCGTAGTAGGAAAGTGTAGTTTCTGTGCTTATTTGACACTTGAGTATGTTAAAAGCTCTTGTATGTGACGGAGACCATTGGTAATCAACGTTATCCCGGATTAACTCTCTCAAAGGTGCCGTGTGACTCGCCAAGTTGGGCATAAATGGCGCTAAATAGTTGACCATTCCAAGGAACGTGTGAAGTTCTTTCTTATCTTTGGGTGGTTCCATGTTCTGTATGGCTATGACCTTCTCTGGATCAGGTTTGACTCCATTCGCGGTATATACCATACCAAAAAAACTGCATTCAGCGGTCTTGATGATGCATTTCTCTCGGTTGAGTTTGATGCCAGCCATTCTTGTACGTTCCATTGCATCATGAAGATATAGATCGTGATTTGACTCATCTTGGCCATGGACTGTGATGTCGTCCGCAATCCCAGCACCAAGACAGTTCCGATAGACTTCATCAATCTTGAATTGGAAGACATCCTGGCTCATTCGAAGACCAAACGGCATTCTTAGGAATCTATATCGACCATTTGGTGTATTAAATGTGGTTAGATATGATGATTCATCATCTAACTTAACATTCCAGTATCCATTACGAGCGTCTAATTTGCTGAATATCTTAGCTCCAGCTAACTTTGGGGTGATTTCCTCTAAGGTGGGTGTTGGATAGTGGTCCCGCATAATTGCTTCGTTCAGGTCTTTGGGATCCAAACATATCCGAAGCCTTCCATTAGGCTTCTCCCTTATAACTATAGAATTTACCCACTCGGTTGGTTTTGTTACCTTTTCTATTACACCCCTCTTTTCCATCTCGTCAAGTTCGAAATTTAGTTTATCTACCAGCTCTAATGGTACTTTACGAGGCGCATGAATAACTGGTTTAACTTTAGGATCTAGGGTTATATGGTATGTGTAATCTTCAAAACATCCAACTGACCCATCAAAACATTCTGGATACATCTCGATCAGATTCTCTTTATCCTTTATACGAGGACGGTCTGTGATTGGCACAGAGGGTTTAATATAACTTCTAGACCGACTTTGTTGCTGATTTACTATCTTTGCTTGATCCGCAAATCTAATACTCTTAGTGGACTTAACTTTCTCTTCACTAGGCCCCTGGGCAACACCTTGAGGGATGTTTCTTCCTTGTACCACTTTTGTTTCCAGCGCACAATGGAGTGAAACCAGTCCAAGGGCTCTACACGCTTTTATTCCCAATATAGCTGGACCTACTGCATCAGTTACATAAAAAACACAATTAAATTTTCCCCTTTTGTGCTGACATGGTATTAGTACTTTTCCAAATTGGGTAATCTCATATCCCCCATACGCAGTTAAGATAACCTCACTTCTTTGTAGAGCACCGTCCCTGGGCATCCCTTCTGCATTAATGAAGGAATGTTTAAAGTTCTCCAGGAACGACTACCACGAACACACACAACCCTAGCGCGAAGAAGAGCGAAAGCTATCTTCTTACGTAACCAGTTGAGAACTATGGAGGAACTAAAGTTCTTTTTCTCAGCCAGTTTGCCTGCTAGGAACGAGAGGAAGTGAGAAGTCTCCCTTCCACATCCACCATAGGCACTAAAAACGACTGGGGTGAAGGAGCCATGTTCAACTTCAACAATTCTTTGATTATAATGACGTTTCTTCTCACGTTCGTTGGCGTTAAACGAGCTGGTAAGAGTCTGGCGGCGATGTGTCGAAGCGTAAGGATTAAACACCCTGTCATCAAAAAATGCTTTTTCACATCTCTGCCAGAAACCTCTCGCAGCTATGTCCACTCTAGCATCATCGGCAGAATTAGCACTGGATGGAAGTACTTCGCCAGTTAAAGGAGCAAGAGCAGGTTCAGTAGAAACGTCATAGGCCACGTCGTCTATGGCAGAAGCGAGAAGGTCACGGATTTCGTCATGTCGTCGATGAATAAAACCTCCTTTCAGGCACGACAAGGCATGGTCCACGGTGAAAGATTTTCCACAAGCGCAGAAGGATGGAAGGCGCTTCAATGGCCACCGATAACGCATATAGATTGCGTCAAAGAACTCTGGTTTCGTGAAGACATACCCTTCATTAGCAAGTGGCAGTGCTGTCAACCAAGCTGAGGATCCCTTCAACTGGGCTAGATCATTTGCTCGAATTTGCTCTTCACTCATACTTGATCTCAAGTTCTGCAAGACCAGCTTGTTTTGGGCATGTCGATGATTAATTATCTCACGGCGCAAATCGTAGATGGATGCTCCATTTTCATTTGCTGGAGCGTCATCATTCTGATGGACGATCTTGCTTGAGAGATTTTGACAGATGGTCTTTGAGTTCTCATTTTCTTCATCGCACAGGTCGGAGAAGATAGGTATTCCAAGACCCCCCATTCTCGTCGGCAGTGACAGTAACTTCCTCTCATGGATGGAAACACTACGGTTGTCTAGGAGCGCTGGCAGGAGCTTCAGGCTGATGGAATCATCTACCACTCGCATCGCAGTCTTGATACCTGGAACAGTGCGTATATGGTAAGTATAAATCTGTGCCGAAACCCTGATACAAATGCAGCATATGCAGCTTGGGGCTCAAATTTAGCAATTTCACTTAAAATGTAGATTTGCTGACACCATTTACTAACTAAAGACGAGATGTACTTATCTTTCCCATCTTCAGAGCCAAGATATCCTCCAAGGTACTTATGTCCTTCAGTTGTTATACGAACACCAGTTCCTGCGAACATCTCTTTGGCGGTCTGCTCCAGGTGCGGCTTCACAATCAACCAGGATTTGTCAGCACGCGGATAGTAACCAAGACGGGGACCAGAAATATCAATGTTCTTCCACCAGGAACGCAAATGAGCAAGTGTACCAGCACCACTAAGGTCATCAGCAAAGGCAACATGTCGAACATCGCTAGCTTCATCAGATTTAATCAACTGCAGCAAGGGTGTAATGGCAACAGCATACAGCGGCATGGCTAATGGATCACCCTGTGTGGTACCTTCTGCAGAAGTAATTTCTTTCCCTCCTTGGAAAAACAATCTTGATGCTGTGACATAACAGTTGAAGGTGTAAATTGCCATGGCAGGACAAATGTACTGAATGTTGTGCAACATGATTCTCCGGTTAATTGAGTTGAATGCGTTTGTGGCATCCACCAATAACACAGCATCCGTTTCATCTTCTGCAAAGATTTCTGACATGGCATGAACTGCCGCCTCACAGCCAGCTGGTTGTCCAGCACAAAGCTGAACATCACCTGCACTTTCCATGATTTGAGGCTTGATTGCAAAGATAATTGACTTCCCGATGATCCTACGAAGCACCTCACCAATTCCGATGGGACGAACACCTGGGTTCTTATCCAGTGGTATTAAGCGACACGCCAAAAACGCCTCCAAACTTGTGGTCTGATCTGGTTCAATATCAACCTTCCGTGTTGCAAGTGTTCTCGCCATTAACGCAATCGCGGATCGCAGATCTCTTCCAGCGTCCCCATAATTGCGAGACACTAAAATATGCCGCCAGCCAAGTGCATCAAGACCAGAAGGACCAGCTGTCCTATTGCTGACACCATGGCATACAAAATGGTATGTCTAGGAGAAAATACATATATACACCATGTATATATGTATATACATGGCATGCATATACACCATGTGTCTGATGGTTGTACGATACATAATCATACAACCATCATGCATATAAACTTAATATAAATCAATCATGCCATGTTGATATATGATCGACATGGCATGCATATACACCATGTGTCTCATGGTTGTACGCTAATTAAACCAATGCTAATTAAAGCGACGCTAATTAAAGCAACTCTAATTAAAGCAACGCTAATTAAAGCAACGCTAATTAAAGCAACTCTAATTGAAGCAACGCTAATTAAAGCAACGCTAATTAAAGCAACGCTAATTCGAACACCGAATTAAAGCAACGGTAATTCGAACACCGCCTCATTCACTCGCGTTTGGTATGTTTCGCCATTTAATTGTTTTACTTGCTCGCTAGCGACTTGAACTTTTTTCATCCTGCCAATTATTTGAATGGTAAATTCCCTGAGGCCAGTGTAACGGCCGCAGCGCAAGTTCTATGTACATTTGAAAACGATGACGATTTTGCTTACGTCACGACGCGTTGTAAAGTTCGAAGAAACAAAATGCAAAACGCAGAGACAAAATTATATATTTTACAGGCAACAAATTAATTGTCTTGACCAAGTAACACTGCTTACTCGAGGATCATTAGACGTTGTCGATTATAGTTGTCGTAAACTAAAT